AAAATCGCAAACATTTTAAATTAAAACTTAAAATTGACAAAAACTGTATACGCACTGCATCTGGAACGGATCGACGGACTCCATCCGCGTGCAGTGTGAAAGCTCTAACCTGTTAACATGGGTACGGAAAAAAATACGCACTGCAAACGGAGTATGTGTGAAACGGGCGTAACTCCACAATTCAGTACTTCACAGTCTTTGTAATGTGTTTTAGCAATACATTTCTAACATTTATAATGTGTTTAGATTTTTTTTTTAGAATTGCCTTTACAGGGACTTTAAAGTGACAGGACTAATTCTGTGTTCCACATGGGCACATAACCAATCTGTGGGAGGCAGAATTCTTGCTGGTTGGTAGGGGATCAAATACTTATTTCACTTGATCAAATGCTAATCAATTTATAACCTTTAAAAGTACAGTATATAATTTTTTCTAGATTTTTTGGTTGATATTCTGTCTCTCTCCGTTAAAATAAACCTACCATAAATATTATGGACCCGTCATTTCTTTCTAAGTGGGGAAACTTACAAAATCATCAGGGGATCAAATAATTATTTTCTCCACTGTATAGTATAATATAACAACTTTGTTACTCTATAAAGCAATAAGTCTTTCCCAAAAAATCTGGTCATAATCAAACAATAAATATTTTGTGACCTTTGAGCCACATTTAATGCATGAATGTCATTTCATTACACTTCAAAACAAACATTTCACAAAAGACATATGTTAGGTTATAAATTATAAAACAATAGATAAACTAAACAAAATTTAAGAAGTATTTGGATACTTTAGTTGTCATACATTTACTAAAGGTATGTTTCACTAATGATATGGGCTGCGTTTCCCGAAATAATCTTGACGCTACGTGTTTCCCGAAACATTCTTAGTTAAGTATACCTTCTGTAAGTCATACGTTCGGAAGGTTGGTCTGGACCACTCTTAGCTTTGCCTTATCACTGTAAACAGGTGGCCATCACTGCAAAAAAAAAAACGTCTTTACATCTCAGTATACGAATATATTTCTGTAGTTAACCCCCCACCGCGTAAAAATCTCCAGCCAAATTACCTAGGCTACTGTTTTTTTGACAAACACCAAGGTCGTGTGGTGATTTAACTGCCGTCCGAATCCACATCTCTAAGTTTACAAGAAGAGATCACTTCAAACTTTTGTTTCAAACTGTTTAAATCCTTTTTGATCACTACCGCGCACCGTACGTACGATGTACACTTTTATTAGGCTACTGAAGTGCTGGAAAGTATTTACAAGAACAATATTTCATCACAGCTCCACCTCAGCAAACAAAAAGGAGAAAGAAGAAAGCACGTAAACATTTGTAATGGGCCGTTATTGTGGCAGCAATATATGATACAATTTTAAAATATGTAGGCTAGGCTATAGTTTGGATTATTTTTTATAATATCCCATTAATCCTAATAAATGCAATTTCCACTATTTCTAAAGTGATTATTTTATAAATAACACCGCTTTCTCATATAACGCAGAGAAGCATCCCCTGCATGAGTGAATAATTGATTCTCGAGCCATCGATATCAACAAATTTAGCACCATCGCCATGGACAGCACCTGGTAAAGTCGCACGTAAGAAGGTATATCTTAAGCAACTTCCTATGGTATGGTTCGGGGAACACGCATAGAAATGGTATACCTTTAGTTAAGTTATACCTTTAGAGTCTTCGTAGCGCGCTAAGAGACAAGGTTATCGGGAAACGCAGCCATGAACTACACCTGTATGAATGTGACTTCATTTAGAATATCCCTTATAAAATCACTTTGGAACCAGCTGGGTAAGCAATTAAAAAAAAAGGCTAAGAAGAAATGTAAAGTTAGTTCTGAGAAAATGATCCCATCAATTATTCTAAACATTTCACCAACATGTCCTTGTCACAGATATCTAGGAAAATATGATTACTACCAAGAGATGTCTATATAGATGAACATGCTATTATTTGAAGTTAATCAAACTAATCTAAGAAAAATCAAGTGAAATTTTCAGTTATGTAAACCTAGAATGCATCTCACAGTATTCTCACAGTACTGCTAGAGCAATCAAGCAAATAAAGTAGATAATTTTTTAACTTTCTTGTTTTCATTGCGTGAAGAGGCTAAACTTGGATTAGAAAAAAAGTGGGTTGTGATTGAAAAAAGCCCTTCATGTTAAGTGATGTCTGATTGTAAAAAATAGTTAACCTCTTTTACATACATAGTACATTGTAATGTACATCTGTTTTAGACTTGACACCTCAGAACCATATGTTCTTTAAAACTAGGGATGCACGATACCACTTTTTCCAGAATTAGGCCTTTTTCCAATACTTAAATTTTTGGTACTCGCCGATACCATTTTTGTAATTTTTAAATATATTAGGTAGAGAAACCAAAAGAAAATGAATTATATTAATTGGTTTAATTTTGTTTAGCAAAATATATTTACTTCAGTTATTTTCATGCTTAATTATGCCTGTTAAAATGTATTGTACAAGCTTCTGTTACTTTCACTGTTCATTCTATTCCTCTATCATATTTTACCTTTCATTTAATAGCACAGACAGTATATTTAGAGCTGCTTCAGCAGGGCTCAGTGCTAAGGATTTTTTTCTACTTGCCTGGTTGGGTCAGTGGTTCAAATGTTTAGATACCAGTGAAATAACAGAAAAAAACTACGAGCCTAATTAATGTAAATTTAAAACATTATTAAAAGACAAGTAAACTGTCAGTAATAAAATAAGAATAGGTCTAACAGTAGTTTTCAGATACAGAATTTAAATAAAGTAAGCAATTGTAAAATAACACTAGCTAACCATAGTCTTCACTGCATAAATTAAATATAGATATTTTTTTATTAAAGTTACAAAAGTCATTCAGTCAAGAGCAATTAGTGATTTATTTTTTGTCCTTTGTTTGATTAACATCAGTTAAGCTGATGGTTTATTAAGCTGGTTTATTAAGCTGTGCTGTCCCTTTACGACCGAATGCATGGTTCAAATATACATGCGTTTTATTTCTCCACTGTTTACGTTCAGTAAGGATATTACCAACTATGTTTACTAGGATACTCGCCAGTATGGGCATTTTTACATGATTTTGTGTGAATTCAGTTCAAGTGCAAGAAGACTTCAAGAATTTAATTCAGTATTCAAGCACTGTCTAAATGCGGCTTACTAGGCGTGAGCTTCGGATGTTTGCACACAGTAAATTTCTTGTCCTGTTATCAGGGCCGTACCCACCATTGAGGTCCCCGAAGTGTGAAATAATTGCCTACACTGTAAAAAAAAAAGAAGTAAATTTACAGGTAATGGTCAGTATTTTTTCTACAGAATTTTGCCGTTTTGTCATTATACAGTTTTTTTTACAGATATTTGCTGTAATTTAAAGGTCCACTATTGAATTTACAGGTAATTTTGTATTTTGGTTTTACATCAATTTTACGTTTTTTTTTAAAGGAAATTGTCTGTATTTTTACAGGGTTGTGTAATTTTACATAAAATATTCCGTAATATTTTACAGATTTTTTCTGTTAAATTAGAAAACAGAAAAGAAGGTATAACTGCAGAAATCAGTCATTTAACATGTTTTCCTTGAAGATGTGGGTGTTAAAGTGAGTTTTAAGGTTAAATAATAGTATTTCCGTACTATATAATAACTGTGATAGATCTAATGGTACATTTAATGTAATTTTACTGTAAAATACCATTCAATTTACAGTTTTTGAAAGTGAAAAAGAACAACTCATTGTATAATTTACAGTGAAAAACCGTAAATTGACATTCCCACAATTCCCTGCGTGACACTTCACATTTGATGTGTTTTTGTTGAAATAACTATGTTTCTTCATAGTTTTCTTAGTTTTTTCCGAATGAGTTATGTATATTAGGGTTTTATGTTACATTTAATGTTGTTAAACTATGTTTATTGCATTTTTTAAATTTCATGTGTTACCATGATGGTGTTTAATGTTTGTGCGAATCATACTGTGCAGTTTCTTAATATTAGTAATACTACTGTTTTGTGGAAGAGCTGCTTGTGATGAGCCAGCCTGCTCTCAAGGCAATTCGTATGAATTCATATGGCTTTTGCTAATTCGTGCATATTTTACAAGTTACCAAATTCGTATGAAATCGTATGAATGACCTATCCCTGACCCAGCCCCTAAACCTACCCATCACGATGGTTTAGACAAATCGTACGAACTCGTACGAGTGAGGTTGTACGAATTAGCAACCTTTTAATCTCTTGTACGAATTGGTCGTGAGATAGCGCTGAATGAGCTTTGAATGATCATGTGACTCTCATCACCACTGTGGTTGTTGGTTGACAATGTATTACAATGGTACAAAACAGATATTAATACTTCAATAGGTCAGTAAATTAACATTATATCAGATAATGAAAGATATTTTTGTGTAGAATAACAGTAATAAACCATAATTATAGGATAAGAAATTACCAGTTTTTTACACTTTTTTTCCGTCTTTTAACAGACATTTTCTGGCGCCCCAGCTGCCAGAATATTTCCGTTTTTTTACGAGTTGGTTTTTAACTGGTATTTCACGGTATTTTTCTGGCGCCCCAGCTGCCAGAATATTTCCGTTTTTCATGAGCTGCTTCAGCGGACTAACAACACTGCTTGTCAATGTCAAAATGTTTGAGATGACCAATCAAATCCAAAGTAGAATTATGAGAGAGCAATTTAACCATTAATTGAACTGATTAGTCCAAAAACACTGATTAATTATTAGGTTTAAATGTTAGTAATATGTGCCTTGTTTTACTTCATTTGCTATTGACATATCTCAACAAGCTTGCGGGTCTGTGCCGCTGAGCACTCAATCCACTCCGCGTTTCAGCTCGTGCACACCAGCTATATAGGCGTACATTTAAAAAAAAAACATTTTTTCTGTTCTCTGTTTTCTGTGTTTATTTGTCACAAGCTGTGTGGTATTGGAGCATTTTAATGAGTACGAGTACACTGGCCCAATACTTATACCGGTATCGTGCATCCCTGTTTAAAACCATGTATTGGCTGTGGAACACTGTAAAGAAAAGTGAGGAACAATCTAAATATCCTTCTGTTGTTTTACATCTCACCACAATTGAACATTCTGCAGTTCCACGTCACCAAGAATCTCCAGCTGATCAATGGAGGTCAAGTCCTGCACTCTGTGCTTGTAATCCAGCAGGTGGGATCCGTTAACTGCTATCTTAAACTGATGAAGCTGACATAGGATGATCATCTGACAAGACGAAGCAACAAAAAAATAAGAAATTTTATTGTTATCCCATTTCACAAATACACAATTCTTACTTCTGAAGACAAATAAAGTAACTCAAATAGAACATGCTAGAATCATGCTACATTAGAAACATGCTAGCAATGTGCTAAACCATTGCTGAAAAATTCAGTATAAACCAGCATGTTGGTCCAGACAGGTTCATGCTGGTTCGAGCTGTTAAAGTGCTGAAGCTGGTCAAGCAAAACTGAGCTGATATTTTGTTATGTTATGGGTAAATGTGTCATAATTGGACCCATACAATTTTGTTAGGTCTTTAGTAGAATTTTGCTTTCTAATTCAAGTCATTATTTCGTTGGAGCTCCTCATTTGGTTTACAGTTAAACATAAGGCGCCATTAAAAATAAACCATCCACTTGTTCCTGACGTGGGATCCTTGCTATTGTCTGGTCATAATGCAAACGAGCAGTGTAGAAAAACAATAGCCTAATTCAAAACGACCCTGAGCACTTGTGGTGTGAACATCTCCGTTGTTATGACAGGCTGCTTACTTTAACGGCAGAAACGGTAAAATGGTTGTCATTTTGTCTCGAGTTTCAGTTGAAACTAAGCTGGGGTCCAGTGTTGTGCCGAATGTTGACTCAATGTCAAATCATCACTGGTTTTGTTTATAATCTCCTTTGTTGTGCACTGACTACAGCAGCCACAAAATGGAGATGGTCCTCACTGCAGAACATGAAATCCACGGGGAGGAGTCGGATCCAGATCCAACTCCTCCCACCTTACATATACCTAATCCTACCCATCTCCCACTTCCCACCCTAATCCCTAAACCCACCCCTAATCCTACCCATCTCCACCCCTTGGATCTTGATCCGACTCCTCCCCATGGATCTCATGTACTGCATTGAGGTGCTACTGACAAAATGTGACATTTTGAGTGCCTTTTCAGAGTTCCTTTGAAACTCAAAGCTAGATAAGTGAAAATCTTTTACTCCTTATCTTGGTGCATTCGTCAACTTTTAATTTATAAACTAGCAAACATACAGTTCTAAAACCAAGCGTCACGGTTTTTACTTGTCTTGCATTTGAGATAGGAGTGAATTATTAAGAATATACGCAGCAGTGTTTACGTTATCATGGCGAGATCAGATCATTTTAAGCTGCCAAACTCCGGGAAAGTTTTCAGTCCAATTATCCAGTAAGCGAATGCATTCAAACAATCAGTCCAAAACGGCACTAATGTAAAGAAAACGTCCTCGGGTTACGACTGTAACCCTTGTTCCCTGAGAAGGGAACGAGAACTGCGTCGAATGACACTTTGGGGGAACGCCCCTCAGCGTAGCGCCTCTGAAATATGAATGAAACTGAGCCGATCTCTGATTGGTGCAACGTCATGACGTGATGTGTGACGGCACATAGGCGGAAGCTATAAAGGCAGCCGGCACACATAAGATGTCAGCTTCTGTTCTTCAGCAAGCGCTCCCAGGCAGGGGAAGGCATGGCCAAGGGACGCAGTTCTCGTTCCCTTCTCAGGGAACAAGGGTTACAGTCGTAACCCGAGGACGTTCCCTTTCGAGGGAACTCCAACTGCGTCGAATGACACTTTGGGGGAACGAGTACCCACTACGCCACAACGTGCCCTGCCTGCCCTAGTGTGAAGCTGCTCACAGGACTCCACTTAGGACGAGAGCACAAGAGAGCCGGGTGTCGACGGAATGTCCAGACTGTAAAACCTAATAAAGGTATGAGGGGTAGCCCATCCCGCTGCATCGCAGACCTCCTGGATGGGGGCCCCCGCGAGAAGGGCTCTAGAGGACGCCATGCCTCTGGTAGAATGAGCCCTCACGGCCAGAGGTGAAGGCAAACCGCGCACCTGGTAGGCCGTGGAAATCGCATGGACAATCCAGTTGCTGATGGTCTGTTTTGAAGCGGGAAGCCCCTTCTTGGGCGACCCGAAACACACCAGCAACTGGTCCGACTTCCGCCATGAAGAGGACCTCTGAATGTAAATACTCAGTGCTCTGACAGGGCAGAGCATGTGAAGTCTCTCTTCATCTGCCGTCACGTGAGGTGGAGGATGAAAAGCCTGCAGAACCGTAGGCCGTGCCGCACTGGACGGCACCTTAGGCAAATAGCCGGGCCTAGGGTGAAGAATGGCCTTAATGTTGCCTGGAGCAAACTCCAGGCACTCGTTAGATATGGAGAGCGCCTGGAGATCTCCTACCCTCCTCAGAGAAGTAATGGCCAACAAAAAGACCACCTTCAACGAAAGGTTCTTGGCCTCAGCCGACTCCAGCGGCTCGAAGGGGGCCTCGGCCAGCCCTTCGAGAACCACTGCCAGGTCCCAAGTGGGAACCCTGGTACGAGCCGCAGGTCTCATCCTCCAAGCCCCACGGAGGAAACGTACGACCAATTGGTGTCTCCCCAGAGGCCCATCACTCAGAGGAGCGTGGAAAGCCGCAATGGCAGCCACGTACACCTTGAGTGTGGATGGGGTAAGACCAGTGGAGAAGCGATCTTGGAGGAACTCCAGCACTGAAGCCACTGGGCAGTTAACTGGGTCCACCTCACGCTCCCTACACCAAACGGTGAAGACGTTCCACTTTAAGCCGTACAATTTCCTCGTGGATGGAGCTCTAGAGCTGAGTATGGTCTCCACTACTCCAGCTGATAGGCCGGCCTCTAGGTACTGTGCCCCCTCAGGGGCCAGACCCACAGTTTCCATAACTCGGGCCGAGGGTGAAATATTTAGCCCTCTGCCTGTGTCAGCAGGTCCCTCCTGATGGGAATCTCCCATGGAGGGCCGTCCAGGAGCAAAATTATGTCGGAGAACCATACTCGGGCCGGCCACAACGGGGCTACCAACAGTAGACTGATCCCGTCGCGACGGACTCTCTCTAGAACTCCCGGGAGCAGAGCGATCGGGGGAAATGCGTACAGACGTAGCCTCGGCCACGTCTGCACCATGGCATCCAACCCCAGCGGGGCTGGATGGGTGAGGGAAAACCACAGTGGACAGTGGGTCGTCTCTCGAGACGCAAACAAGTCCACTTCCACTGGGCCGAACCTCTGAGATATTGACTCCACCACCTCGGGGTGGAGTCTCCATTCCCCGGGCCTCAGCCTTTACCAAAGGATGTCTCTCGACAGGATGTCTGCTCCCTGATTTTGACTCCCCGGGATGTATGTTGCTCTTAGAGACAACAGTTTCCCCTGGGACCACAGGAGGATCTGATGCGCCAGTCTGCATAGAGGGCGAGACCTCAGACCCCCCTGATGGTTTATATAGGCCACTACCGACATGTTGTCTGACCTCACAAGGACATGATGACCTTTGAGGTCCGGCAGGAAGCCCCTCAGGGCTCGGAACACCGCCAACATCTCCAGGCAGTTTGTGTGCCAGGAGGCATGATGGTCCTGCCATAGGCCTGACGTAAAGCGGCCGTCCATGACCGCGCCCCAGCCCGTGAGGGAGGCGTCTGTCGAAACGGTTCTCCGGCGACATGACGCTCCCAACACCGGCCCTTGGGACAGAAACCAAGCTTTCTTCCACATAGATAGGGAACGAAGGCATCTGCGCGTAACCCTGATCATGCGGAACGGGTTTCCCCTCGGGGAGAACCCCTTGGTTTTTAACCACCACTGAAGGGCCCTCATGTGCAGCAGGCCGAATGGAATGACACTGGACGCTGCCGCCATGAGCCCCAACACTCTCTGGAAGTGCTTTACAGTGATGGCTTGGCCTAGCCTCATCCCGGACACTGTGGTCAGGATGGACTCGATCCGCGCGGGAGACAATTGTGCCCGCATCGTGACCGAGTCCCACACCACTCCCAGGAACGTGGTTCTCTGGGCTGGTGTCAACACGCTCTTTTTCGTGTTGAGTCTCAACCCCAGGCTCTGGATGTGGGCGAGGACGACATCTCGATGCCGAACCGCCAGCTCCTGTGACTGTGCTAAAATCAGCCAGTCGTCGATATAATTGAGCACCCTGATGCCCTGAAGCCTCAGCGGTGCCAGAGCTGCATCCATAAATTTGGTAAATGTGCGAGGGGAGAGAGCTAGGCCGAACGGAAGAACCCGATATTGGTACGCTTCGCCCCCGAAAGCAAACCTCAGGAACTTCCTGTGAGATGGAAGGATGGATATGTGGAAGTATGCGTCCTTTAGATCTATCGTGACAAACCAATCCTCGGACTGAATTTGACTCACGATAATGGGAATAGTGAGCATCTTGAACCTGAATCTCCTCAGAGAACGGTTCAGGTGCCTGAGATCTATTATTGGACGCAACCCCCCATCCTTCTTGGGAACTATGAAGTAGCGGCTGTAAAACCCGGACTCCCTGTCCGGTGGAGGAATACGATCTATAGCCTCCTTTGCCAGCAGGGAGTTTACTTCCTGTTCCAATACCCGACCCTGCACTGGGTCGACTACAGTCCAGACCACCCCGTTGAATCTGGGTGGGCGGGAACTGAACTGCAGCCTGTACCCATTTTGAATGGTGCGCAGGGCCCTAGGAGAAATATTCGCCAGATTTTTCCATGCATCGAAATATTTTACCAAGGGAACCAGGCTCTCGAGCCTGGCTTCGGGTATTATTCGGGATTCGTTCTCGGCCCCCTGAAGCGGATTCCCGGCAGGGCTGAACCGAAAACGATTCTCGATGGGCGGACGCGAATGCTGCCTGACTGCAAGCCTGTGGGGCGGACAGTGCAGCCTGCGTTCGCTGGATACCGATGTGTCCCGAAGCGTGTTTAACGGCGGGAGAGCAACATCGATTTCCTCTAGAAGCGGTACTCTTTCACCAAAAAATACTGTTTTAATATTATTACAGTCTCGTAATCTACACGCTGCCTCGGCAAACGCGAGAATCGAGCGGTAACAATATATTTGGCTTTCATCCCTCGAGAAGAAAGTCAACAGGTGTGAGGCTGAAACATCCGACAGCGCATGGTTAATTTTGTAGGCCTACGCGTCGAGATATTTCTCAATGAACA